TTTTCTTTTGGATTAAATTACTGTTGAGAAGGAATAACAACACTTTCTATTGTAACTGATGCTTTTAGCCGTGTTATTTTTGCATTGTGTTAATTTAAAGGGCAGACAGTCACATTTTGTATGCTCTTTTCTCTCAAACATACATATAATGATCCTTTACTTTTAGACCATAATTTGTTATTGTTGCGCCCCATGAATTGGAATGAAGTCCAATCCCTAATTTCATAACAGACTTGTAAATATTTGGTATTTCTGTCTAAAGCCCTCTCCCTGGACGAGCAAACTGGAAACTTTGAAGTGGGAAAAGACTTTGATGCCCTGAGAGTTAATGTGGCTGCTCCAGGGGGACCCATCGACCTGATCGAAGATGAAAATCCAAAGGTAACAGAGTAATATCTGAATATATTACTGTAAGACCTAAAGTCAAATCAGTCAAAGAGTTTAACTTAACTACAACATTAATCATTTGACATTCAGGTTCTTTTGGAGAAGTTCTTGAATTTGGGTGAGCTACGGTTTCTTTTTGGTTTCATTCACATGTTTTGGTTTTAGTCTTCCAATTATCACACGTGTAACTCTTCCCTCATTTGTTTTTTTGTTTTTTGTTTTTCACAGGTGATGATCGAAACATTATGGAGGTGTTTGTTGCTGGGAGAAAAGTGGTGCCTTTGAAAAAGCCATGAGCAGACATGCCTTCTACCTTCCTCACAAGGAAATTTTAGGGCAGATTCTTTAATAGAGCCTGAGTTAAGCCAAGCCTGAATTTAGTCTGGAATTAGTAGATTTTAAATCAGGAAACAAGGCACTTTTTAAATACTAGGAAGTTTGTCTTTTCCAAGATATCATTACCCAAGAGATTTACAGTATTATTTACTACTTATGCACCTTCTTTCTTGTATAGTAGGCCTAATTAATCCACACTGAAAAAAAAAGGTTTTATTCCTGCACACATTCATTAAGTTGTATTACGACAATCAGTAACATATGACTTGGTGCTTTTCATTGTACTCAGGGTGCAGAAACTGCAGTAGTTTTGATGCTGTTTTTTTAGGCCTTTGTGTTGAAAGATTCCTTGTGGCAGAAGCTGAAGCTGTGCTTTAACCACTGGACACTCCAACAAAATACAGCCTTGACAAAAAAGTGTTGAAGTGAAAAGAGAAATTTCTCTTTTTTTTTTTTTTTTTTACATTTTTCTAAAAAGTCCAAGAACTGTAAGAGTCCTGATGGTCTTTTTACTGAAAACTATCACCTTATCAGTGACTAAATTGGTTTAGTTCTTTACATCTTTGGGCATACACCAATAAAGGATTGATCTTTTATATATATATATATTGTAATATTTTGATATGCACTTTTGAAATAATATTGAATTTAGAAGAAAGCAAACTTTTTCACTTTTCTTATTAACAGTATTTAACTCAAGTTTGCTTTTTACTGAAAGGGTTGCTAATTAAATCTAAACACTGCACGCTGTGACTGAGTTTTTTTTTTGTGTTTAAGATCATTCTCATTGTTGTTTTGATCTGTTACACAACATGAAATATAATAAAAATGAATAAAGAAACGTCTAAAAGTTATTTTTTATTTGAACTTATTTGTTTTTTCTGTTTGTCATTTGAGATTGTGCATGACAATTCATAGCAAAAATATGATAGGTTCAGTCAACACCTTGATTTAGAACACAGCCTGTTCATGTGGGTCTAATCTAGTTTTTAGAACATTATTAATGGTTTTACATAAAGAGGTAATACCAGTCCAGCCTCTAGAGGGCAGAAAAGATCAAATGCAATATACTGCCCCACACTGGATTAAACTGTGGTTCAGATTATTTGAACTAATTGTGATAGTAACAGTCAGTATCTTACCAATAGTAGACTCAGGCTTCGCGGAATAAAAAAAAAAAAAAAGAAACTCTCTTTATCATACCTGACCTCATATTTCCAAACTGTAATTTTCAGTCCAAATCAAACCTAAAATTATAAGACAAAGGTAACCCTTTTCGACTTTAGTAGTAAAGAACCTTTTGGAATATCCTTGCCACACCTTGTTCTTTCACAAGCAAACAGTTTTTTTTATGTGCTACAAAAATGACAACATACTAATACATACTTATACAATACGATATTTAATGCAGTATTGGTATAATGAAATAATTAGATAACATAAAATAATTGTTGTGCCACATATTTTTGGTATAATTCTTCATGCAGGATATCAAAGGGCTGCAGGAATTTTCTATAATCTTAAAAGACTCTCCTGTCTTCGCTAAGAAGATTGTTTTAAGAATGTAATGATCAGGGGCGGTGCCAGGAATTTGGGGCCCAATGAAAGACATTGACATTAACTTAATGGACAGATTGTTTTTATGCTGGCCTTGAGAATTCATATTTCATTCATATATGCATATAATGACAATAAAACACATGTATTTTTGGTGTGGCAGCTTCAGGCTGCACATGGGAATTATTAACATTTATAGATGTGTTTTAATGGCTGAAATTCAATCTGAATATAAAAATCTACCTGAACAATTCTAATATTGACAGGGATTTTAATACAGGCTCCTGGAAGCTACTCAATGTTTTCTTAAACTGTCCAGGACCCAGTACAAACAACTGCAGGCCATTTTTATTTTATAGTGATTATTATGTAGGAAAAAAATGTTTTTATGTTTTTAGATATATATATATATAAAAAAAGTTTAATTTTAAGTTTTTGAAGTGGTAAAAAGAGGGAAAAACCCGCAGTCTGCAATGATGCTTTCTGTCCCTGAACTAAATGTAGCACACCTTCTTCACTGGGGGGTTGATGAGACAGCGATGATTCTGGTGGATACTCTGTTTAAATAATGGAGGAGGGATGAGGGCAGTTATTTAAATAAATATCCTACTGAACATTTACTAGCGTTCATGTTTCCCCTCTGTAGACTATGACGTTTTCCTGTTGCCTGGTCTGGTTTGTAAATGTAAATTTTCAGCTCTGTGAGCTTTCTGGCTTGGTTGCTTGGCCCTTAGTTACAGACACACTATAACCTCATTACAAATGCTGAATTAATCCTGGTTTATTTTTTTCTTGAAAAAACTAAAACAAAACAAAAAAAAAACAATATGAAGAAAATCTTGTAATCATTTTCTGTTTAAGATTTACAGCAGTATCGACTAAATCTGTGACACGTTAACATATGTGACTGCGGAGGGTGATAGCGAGCATCTGTCTCAATAAACATCTTAAAGAGAATCGAGAAGAAGAGCACCTACGTAAATTATGTAGGCACTCATACAGCAGAGATACTAAGGTTTAAAATGGGCGGTGTTGTTTTCGATGTTAAAAGCTATTACACGAGTCAATGAATGCTCATGTGCTCTCGTTTTAATGTGTTAACCAATTGTAATCATTTGATAAATATTTAACGTAGAATAAATGATCCAAAGTGCTTAAATTGAAGCTTTAGTCTTATTATTGGTTTGATGAGTCCTATATGTGTGCAGACTAACCTCATTTAACATAAAGGTGACCATTCATTTGCAAGAAACACAGCTCACAATTAGGTACACTTCACTTCAGATAATGTAACCCTGGGAATCCCATCAGACCTCAATGTAACTCAGCTTCAGACTCCTACCTTCTCCTTGATGCAGCCTTGAAATTAACATCTAATAACTCAGAATGCATGAAAATTACACCGGTAAAATGTTTACCAATATAAAGATGTTAGACATTGTTGGAAAGCTTAGATTTTCCACAATTCAAACACTAAGTTCATTTTATGAATCACCAAAGCACAATTAACACAGATAAAGCAGCATGTCAAAATGTAAACATGACATAGCAGCCACAACAACAAGCATGTCTATATTGCTGCTGTTCAAAAAAGAGCTATTATTTCTGGAGAATAATAAAAACAACTCTGAGTCATGTTTGAACTGATGCAGCTTGGGTTGTTTTTTATTCACCCAAGTTTCATGTATATATGCAGAAACTAGAAGGTGTTAGCTTTCAAATAATGTATCATACATGTAATTTGGGCTTAAAGTTCCTAAGTTATATGCTTTTCTAGTTGGGTATGGAAAATAGGAGAGGATTTCCCAAACGTGACCCTGTCTCTAAATACCTATGAATTACATCAGACCTCTATGCCTACCTGCCTCTTTCTAACTTAGTAACTAACATCAATATTTCAGTAATTATAAATCCATACATTTCTTATATTTGAATAAGCTTTCATAACTATGAAATATATGTTAATTATCTTTAAGCTTTATTTTGAGCTTTCTCCTGCTTGGCGGTACAGGCCATGCGTAGATAAGATTAATTACCTCAGGTCATAACATCATGTTGATAATCAAACTGTTATTCCATAGTGTAAGCCTGTGTCCTAATTCTCTGTGTTTATTTTTATCTTATTTCTATTATGGCATGTATCTTTAAGATACATAATATTGTGGTAATTGTAGTATTTCTAACTTTCTGTTCTCTGTGGTTCTACATAAAATCGAATTTATTGGTGACAGAAAAAAAAACACACTTGGCATGTGTAACATGTATATTTGCTTAGTTTCCAGGTGTACTGTGCTTAACGCTGTCTTTTAATCAGACTGTAGTGAAATTGGTGATTCCTTTCTCAGTGCTTATCATCTCTTACGTTAGTTGTGTTTAAATCATTACTATTCACGATAATCTTATAGTGCCTACATATAAAGAATCTTGTAATTATTTTGTCTTTTGAAATACCTCCGAACTTTGAACCCAGCAAGCCCATCTTTGTACCGGGGATCTTAAACCCGTTGTACTGTCTTGCAGGACTAAATAAGCCGCCTGTGAATCGTTATGTCTATTCGGCAAAAGTTTAAATGATTTGATAAATCCTTTATTGTAGAGCTAAGACTGTGGATACGGTTGGAATTTGTTCTTAGTTTTCTGTGCAATTATTTGGTAATAAAGACTCCTGAAAGACAAAAATCAGGTAAAACTTAATTATTCCTAGGCAGTTATCAGGAAGTGACGTAACGAAGCGTCTTTTTTATTTCTTCCTCTTTGTAAACTAATAGACTTTCAGCACCTTAATCTGGAAGGTATGTTTCCTTCTACTTAAACACAAGCATTTTTATTCTGTCCCCGAAATATAACAGTACAATAATTTTACTTGAAAAAAGCGAACAATGTTTGATTAATCATTTGAATCTCTAACCTGATTTTCATGGCGTTTTTTTTTATTAGCTGCGCTTGTTTCGGTCTTAAGATTTAATAATTATGTCCGTCGGCCGATATAATATTTATCTTTTATTTATTTAATATTTGCCAACTTAAGCTTCCAGAAGAAAACTGATTCTTCAAAGGTGTGCGTTTGAGTCGTTTTTCTGTTTATAAACATTGGGGAAAAGCGACTTTTATCATATTTCTACATTGATTATATGTTTGGTGTAGGGTTGTACGAAAACAGTAAGGAAAGCAAACATGGATGCTGACAAATAAATGACATTAAATTCAATTCCCTGTTTTAGTTTATTAATTCGGTTATTACTTTGCATCTAATACCCACATAATGAATAGAGACATAAATTATATAATTTAATGCATACAGAAGAAGAAAAATACTTTTCCCCCTCTGTTTGTTGACTGATAAAAAGATCTACAGGCTGTTTTGCAGGTGGTTGATGGGAGTTCAGGAGGTTTCAGGAGGAGAAACTAAAAACATTATGGACTGCATCAGTCCTACCATCTGGCTTCTTGAATACTTGGCTTAAAACGATTGGAAAAGATCTGAAAAGCAAATCTGTGCATTTCAGCCTGTCTGATATTTGCAGATTTTTCAGAAATGCGCACACAGTTTCCACATTCTTCAATCTTTTTTCTTGCAGCTACATGTAATACATCTTTAAATGAAGAATTCAATAAAAATGCAGATTAGGGGGAAAAAAACAAGTAAAAATTTAATGGATATTCACAAGATAAATCTGATCAGCTGCCTTGTGTAATATCAGGTGTATTCAGGATGGAAAAGGTTTTTTGTCTTGGTTGAATAAATACTTGCAACAGCACAGCTAAGGACTTTGTGACATTTTGTTCATGTTTGAGTATAAATACATAGAGTTAGACTTACATCAGAATTTAAAGTAGGTGGAATAGTTTGTCAATTTGTTTAGAAAACTCACCTGAAATACTTAAAATGAGGCTACATATCAAAAGCATATTGTCACCTACTTTGTTTTAAATTCAGAAGCATTCAACATCCTCTGCAGCTTGGACACCAGCTGAAAGCCCATCATGCCTCTGTTTCGGGCTTTGGATGAACAGGCTGAGGCGAAGGCGAGGCCACGGCGGAGGGATCTGAGGAACTCTAAGGGGGCTGGAAGCTGCTGGCGGACGCATGGTGATGATCCGGTCCACTCTCTGACACGCCTCTGCCTGTTGAGCCTCGCTGACAACATGAAGGACCTGTGGGTAAAGGATTATGCGGACAACTATCTTGATCGCTACTCATTCAGATACATCATGGGGCCTTTCAACCTTCTGCGTGAGTTTCTAAGGAGCTCTGACCAAAGAAGTCTTGATGTGAACTTTGTGTTTTCTTGAAAAGTAGGATAAAAGCACAAACTGAAAAATATAAAACAGCCTTCCTTCCCGCCCTCCTCACTGTTTGAATCTTTGTCCATCCTTGTTTTTCATAGTTTTAATTATAAACCAGTTCATACCAGTAGATTCCTTCTTGACGTATTAACACACATCTGCCTCATTTTAATGGGATGTTCCCCCGTTTTTCCTATTTCTAATAGAAAACTTAAAAAGTAATTAAAATTTGTAGCTTTTGCTCCTTAAACTACTTCCATTGAAAAGGAATAACCTGACTAAATACAAAAGGCTCTTATAAGTTGTTTTGTTTATCAACGTAAAATGGAATTAATCCATAGTATCCACCTTTTTTAGACATTGAGTATAATTGTTAAAATCCAAATTCAGGCATGATTACAGTCAGATATAACCAAGCAAGAAACCTTTAAATAGAATCTAAGAATGCTAAGAAAAAAGTCATCCTCTATCAGTCTCAAAAGGGTTAAAACTCCGTTTCCAGGCCAGTAAATTATGATGTGGGAATTAAATTCAAAATTTGAAAACTTGGAATACTGGTGGAAGTTTCCAGGAGTTGGTATCCTTCTAAAATAACTCAATTAGAGCATTGGTGAGCCCAGAACAACATGGCAGGTGTCAGCTGCCTCACTGGTCAATAGAAAATAATCTGGGCATCTTAATGCTGAAGAGATAAAAAAGGAACTTTCAGGAGAGCTGTCATCCTCTCACATGTGGAATAAAAAGAATATTGTATCAGATAAAAGACGTCTTACCTAATGTCATGCATGGTGGTGGTGGTGTAATGCTCTGGTGGCTCGAAATCCCCCAAAAACACCCAAAAACTTTGGAGTCTGAGCAAGAAACTGACTGAGATATGCTGTGTGACTTTAAACAAGCGTTCACGCTCACTGACACTATGCTGATGTTATTTTTACAGAGAGCAAAAACTCCTCCACTTATCCAAAAACCTTACAGACAGTGGTTACCACCAAGGCTAGCAAAAGCAGACATGACAGTTAGTAGGCAATCACTTTTTTTCCCCACAGGGCCTGGTTGGTTTAGATAACTTCTCCCTCAAAGAAATGAAACATTCTTTGCATTAGCTGTTAAAGATAAAGATCTCTGATGAACTGAAACATTTAAGTTTGAAACAAAAAAATGAAGCTGAAGGAATCTGTGATGATTTCTTTGTCTTGGGCTTCCCCGATTTGAGGTTTTCTATTTAATTATTTCAATGTTTCTGATTGCTTTAAAGTAAATTATGATTACAGCAGCATCATGCCATAGATCTCTGTTTCTGCAATCACAGCTGGTGAGTTGGTGGAAGAGCTGACGTGGCTGCTGTCCACCAGAAAGCAGCTGTCTCGGGCAGCCCTTCACCTGCTGCTGGTCCCTCACCTCCGAGCTCTGTCCCTAGAAAGGTGTCCTGGCTTGGTGACCCCGGCCTTAGGGGCACAAATTGCTGCTCGTTGCCAGGTAAGTCTCTGCCTTTAACTCCTAAATGTTCCAGCTTGGCATAAAAATATCATGAAAGATTTGTTTTTTTTCTCTAGGATTTATGAAATCCAGTTTCATAAAACATCAATACAATGAGGCAAGTGTAACAGAACCTCCAGCATTTTAGAAGTTTAAGACCAAACTTATGTTCCTGCGTTTAGACCCAAGGAAATCTTATCCCCCCCTGCAGTCCAACAGATTTAATTTGACATTGTACATGTTTAAATAAGATCCTCCTATGTATTTTCTCCTCTGAGGTAGAAGTCCGCTTTGCTTCCCTCTGATCTCTTCAGTCCGGCAGCAATAGAAAGGAGAGGTGAAATGAACAGCATCAGTTTTTACAAGTGTTATGATCGTCCTGTAGCTTTCTCACTCGTCTTTACTCAAATAAGCTAATTACTTAGCATGTTACCAACACAAAAAAGCAGCTTTTTAATACATGCAGCTTTGGTATTGATTAATTAGAAATCTTTTTTTTCCCTCTTGCATTCTTTTTAAAAAAAAATTCTGTCAGGGTCTGCGAAGTCTGGACCTATCCGGAGCCCAGCAGCTACCTCCAAAGGTCCTCTGTGAAACCATCTCCAGTTTGCCTGTCGTGCGATCGCTCTCCTTGGCTGGAGTGCCTTGTGACAGGAGTGTAATTCAAACAGTTGCTCGCTGCTGTCGTTTTTTGCAGCGCCTGGATGTGTCCCGCTGTCACCTCCTCTCCCCTGCTGCTCTGCTTCCTCTCGGTGCTGTGGCTTTTACTCCATCCTCTTCCAGCTCCATCAGCTCATCCTCCGTTTCCTCTACCTGGTCTCCTCTCCCACTCAGCAGCCTGTTGGCTCTGGATATTGGGTTTGGGGAACAGGAGGAAGACTCTCCCATGGCAGCAGCCTATCTCCTTCTGTCCCTGCCTTTCTTGGAAAGTGTAGCACTGGAGGGCGTAGGACCAGCTTGCCATCTCATTGATCAGAGACAGTTCAGCCAGGGTGATGAGTTTACCAACAGGGAAGGAGTTTCCAGGCTGCATGATGTGTGGAGGGAAAGGATGCTCAGACAGGGCACAGAAAGCTGGATGAAGACGAAGGAAGGAGGGTCTGCTGATGATGGAGAGGAGAGTGAAGAGGTGAGGAGCTCGTTCTTGGAGGGGTGTGGCTGTGAATCTGCAGAAAATGTCAGCGAAGATGACCTACCTTGCTTGAAAACCCAAACAGAAGAAGGGAAACACGGTTTGTCCCAGTCAGGCCTGATCCTGCAACTAAGAGATGTTAAAGGTGTAACTTGTGAGTCTCTAGGGAGTTTAGGGAATTTGTGTCCCAGCTTAACGTCTCTATCCATGAACCTAGACAAACATGAAGATATAGGTGGAAGGAGCCAAGGATCCCTGTTGACTACTAATCTTCAGACCTGGTCAGGTCAGCTGCAGAGTCTTTCCTTCATCTACTCTGGCCAAATGGTGGATCTTCTTCCTGCCTTACAAGTTTCAGGTTGCTCCCTAATCTCTCTGACGTTGGAGGGGGTGAAAACCAGCCCTCACAGCCCACTGCTGCAGCTCATTAGAGTCTGCCCCAGACTCAGAGACCTCCTTATTTCTGCTGAGCCTCCTGTTACACCACAGCACCAGACCAACGATAACCAACAGGATGATCAAGATCTACCAAAGCTGCCATATCTCCGCTCTCTCAAGCTCTGGTAATTTTCTCTTTGAGTCACTTCTCTGAATTATTGTTTCTTTTATAAACTTCACATACAGGCAAAGCTAAAAAATACATTACAGACAGACTCAGAAACATTTCACAAGCAATTTGGATATATCTTAGTCATACTTTACTGTTGCTCAACATGTGTAAACTGTTCTCTGACAACCAGTTAAAATAATATTTAAATGTTCTTTCAATTTAAAGAAATCACACGAAAGTTAAGTTGGGTGGCAGATTGGATTTTCATTTATTTTTTTTATCTTTTCTTTTACTTTCTGAGAGCAAATTTTGCATTGATATGACATCATCCCCAAAGTAATTCAATACTAAATTCACAATTTCTTGCAAACTATTTCCTCTCTGTTGAATCTCTCATAAAATCTGAGGTTAGAAGCATAAATAACAATTTATTTGGGGCGATTTTTTTGTCATAGACCAGCACAAACTGCATAGTAAAGATAGACATGGTTTTGAATGTTTTATTTTTATTTTTACAATTTTTTTTATTTTTTTTGGAATACCTTGCTGAAAGCTTTGCATATCTAAAGACCAACATCTTTGGCCAGTCTTGAAAAAAACAGCTCAATCTTACACAGACTGAACTAAGAGCATCTCTAAACAATTTTAAATGTCTTGCAATAAATATTTTTGTTGGATTTAGCTCTTTACTGTCTTGGCAATTCCAAATCATGAATATGAGTTGATCTAAAGAATTTGTTGTGGCTGCATGTTTAAGGTTGACTTTTATAAGCAGCTTTGAAGACTTTAGCTTTTTAAATACACTTTTTTTTATTTCCAGCTACCTTGCCATTAACTCCTTCCTGACAGTCACTGCCGATGTACAGCTGCACAATCTGTTCTAAATATATTGCTCATTTTAATATTAGAATATGCTGATGGAATAACATTTACATATAGATTGCCACTGTAATGTTCAGGCTGTTGAATTGCGTGTAGCTGCTGAAGTTTCCACATTAACTGCATAACCAAGAGGCTAAAGTTCACATTCTGCTCAAAGCACTCCTCAGAGAAGGAAGAAATGTTGATTTATGGCACCTGATGCAGTTATAGCAATGCTCACTATTAGCTTTGCCAACATCACCTTTCCAGTATCGTGCTGCCTTGGGTCCACACAGTGCTCTGAGAGATGTCCAAAGGTTGGGATATTGTTTTATAACCCAACCTAATGCATCTCCACAGCTTTGTCCCAGACATTTCCGCCTTGTTCATTTTTTTTACAAGGCTGTTTGCTCACTTATCTTCTTTAACGAAGCTCAGAGGCCTTTAAAGAACAGCTGTTTTCAGTTTCAGCTGTTTTTATTCAAGTGTTAGAGTTATAACTGCACATGCATGCCACACTTTTCAGCTTTTAACTTGTAAAAATAAATCATACATGACTATCCTACTCAGTATTTTATGTGAGTCTATTAAAAAAACTCTGGATAATTGTTTTTCGTTGTAAAATATCAAAATATGGAACATTTCTACAGCAATACTTTTGCAAAGCTTTGCACAAAGTACTGATTTTGACATTTATTATTCCTTTCATTTGAAGTCTTTAATATGTAAACAGGGCTTTCCATCTGACATTATATAAACAGTATATTATACCACATGAACTGGAGAATAAAATATAAAATTTTGGTTCCTCCAGCTATTTTTTTTTTTTTTTTCTGCACCCGGAAAGTTTCACTTTACTAATCTTTTCTGTTGGTGTCTCTCAAATCTCTGCAGTTTTTCCTATGAGCACAATCAAATGAAGCCCTTCATGTCCTGGATGTCCCTAAAGCAAGTGATCAAATGTGTCCTGATTGGTTCTCCTTTACTGGAGAAGCTCTCCTTGATCTCCCTTCCTTGCCCTGTGAACTGCGTCTTACAGGACACCATCCAAAGAGCTAACACGGATGCAAGTCACTGTTCCGATTCCACTGCCTTACCACCACTGCCGCTTGGAAGGATAGAGCATATTGACCTGCTGCGAACAGATGTGCAGATGAGCACTGTGAAAAGCATGATGCAACTGAGCAAGAGGCTCAAGTACGTGAACGTGAGCTACTGCTGGCGGATCAGTCAGCGTGAGTGGCTGGACTGCCGCAGGTTCAGACAAGTTGAAGTTGTCTGGGTGTAAAAAGAGGGCAGGATTCTAAGACTGAAGCCCAACTGTTGGAGCCTATTAAGAATTAGATTCATTTATCTTTTGCAAAATTATTAATGTTAAAGAGCTAAGGTTATGTGAATGGTAGAGTTATTGTTTATTTGTTTATGTATTGGTTTTGCTTTGACCCTCCTCCTTGTCAGTCCGCCTCCTGCTGAGATTAACAAGTAGAAGCAGCTGATGAGGTGGATCTGATTGTTTGTTTGAAGGAGTGAGGAGTGCAACAGTTTTTTCACACACATCACTTAGCTTTATATTCGAATTTTTGTAAGTCAACTCTGAGAATATTTCTCTTATTTTTTATTAGTAAAGAAAACACCCTTATTTTGAAACAAGAAAATTCTCCACGAGTGCTTTTTGTTTTGTGAGTCGAAAAACCTCCTCCTAAGACTACTCTGGCAATTTTTGATTTTTTTGGAAACTTTTTTGATGCAAGAGTAGCCGCAACAAGTGAAAAAACTTCACTGATGACTTGAAGAAGAGCCTAAAGTCGGGAGCTGCCAGCCGATCACGCTCTGATGCGCAAAGAAAGCAGCCAGCGGGCCGTGAGTACAATCAGCTGACTGAGTTTATGAATGAAGGCGCCGCTGCGCTACAAAGAATGATCGATAACTACAGAAAGCAAAGCTGTTGATTTCAAAGAAAGATGGATTAAAGGATTAAAGGTGGGTGAGCAGGACTTTTATTATATGAATAAACCCAAAGCACATTTTACACTTTAGATTCTATATTTGACAAATCTCTATTTGATCTTTTGACTTCACTGTTATAAAAAATTCAAAAGTTTCATTGACTGTATTGTTCTTTTTGGTTTACTTGCTCCAGATTTCTAATATGACTGAAAATCTAAGATGAAAGGTGTTTAAGAAATCTGTTTTAGAAAGTGCACTTTGTTTCTCCTTCTTTTATTAAACTATGACAATAAATTCCATTAGAGTGGATGCAATAATGGCTCATGTCTTAGTGTTCACTTGTCATCTGGTTGAACAAGTCAATGCATAGAAATTTGTACTCAAACTGCTATATTTTCTGTTGTAATTTAGCAATCTGAAATATTCTGTTTAGATAAAAATATTTAGAAAGGATTCATAATTCTAACCTTTGGCAGATTATCCTCATCCAACCGTAGCATCCAAGTTAAAACCTGCTTTTGATATAGGTAATGATCTCCAAGACAGATTTTTTTCCCCCTGTTCTTATACTGATCAAAGCATTTTGATAACAGCACTGGTCAATAGAGGGTGATGGTTCTATATTGTCTTCTATACAATGCCATGTATTTTTATGTAAATGTAAAGTGCAGTAAAATAGCACAAAATTCTAAAATTACATTTGACTTACTTATCTAATTAGTGTTTGCCCAATTACTATTGAGTCTGTTTTAATTAGATAATCTAATCCCAAAGGACTACCTGCAAGGCAGTGGTTTGTTTATAAAGATATATTGTCTCTGTAAAGTGCCTTGAGATGACATGTGTTGTGAATTGGCACTATATGAATAGACTGAATTGATATCTGACTTTAAACATATGCTGGTAAAAATGTCTTAAGTTAGGAATGTTTGTTAAAGAGCTAATATTAAGTCCAGTTTTACTTTTTATACAACTTGTTTGTAATTTGACTGTTAATATTTTTGAATATAATTCTTGTTATATGTGCAAAATTAGTATTTCTGCTGCTTTCTATGCAGTATTTCCTTATACTGGAAGCTCAGTATGCATCTATCTCTTTCCTCACTAGCAATGTGCTGCTCTTTCTGGGGGATCACAAAGTGATTATATCCAGACAAATTTGAGGTCTGCTTAACGTATGGTTCACAATTTTTTAAAGCCTCTTTTTCAACAATATAACCAGCTACATATATTCATAAAGGTTTTACAGTTGTTTTTTTTATTATTCTCTTCACAATAAAACTACAAAAAAAATTATCTGAAAAAATAGTTTGCATTCTAACTTATTTTTAAAATTTGAATAAAGCCACCAGGCCATGTAAAATAAGAATGTATAGTCTGATATGTCAGTTTATGTTTTGCACGAAATATATAATAAATATAAGAATACAGTCTGTGCCTTAACCTTCCATGACATTCAATTTATATATATATATATATATGTGTGTGTATTTTTTTGGCTGTATGTCATTTAAAAAACACAAAATAGTGGAGAAAAACATAAGTTAAAATGTCTGGGGAAACAGCGGAATTTTAGTAAAAATCGATTTAACAGTTTGTACCTTCAGAGTTTCCGTATTTCCTATTCGACGCAACAAACGCAGTTTGCCGGGACCGTGTGCTTCTTTTTGATCCTTTGATGCGGCGGAGCTGTTAGTTGAAAAGATCTCAGCGAGACACTGTGGGGTTAGAAATATACAAACAACGTACAGGAAGTGGAACCATGAAATATATAAGCCACAAACTCCATCTGAACTATGGTATATAGTTATATGTGGGCATTTTATATAAAAATCTAGCTTTGACCGCATACCGGTATACCCGGATATAGTAATCAAGCGCACCGTGCACACGTTACACGTCACTTAGCAAAGCAGTGCCAGTGTAAGTTAGCCAGCGGGAGCATCTGGATATCTTCCCTGGAAAGAAACTACCTTTATTGTGAGTCTTTATAAATTTAACATGATATAATAACTTAGAAAACCACTACCAGAAGAGTAACGGATAGTTTAATTGACAATATGCTGTCCCTCTCCGCTCTTTTTATTCTCATACTGTAATCTACGATACTCTCGGAAGGAATATGGGAAGGCTCGCATAATCAGACATTAACTTCTTGCTTGAAATTTAAAATTCTTAATTTCCCTGTCATTGTTCCATTACGAGCTTAAGAGAAGCTATAAATGATAAATTTCCGCCAGTTTATCCATTTGAATTGAGAAAAGTGTGAGAGCAGTTTAAACTATGGGCCTTTTTACAGCTGGAAGGTCCTGATATTAATAGCTAGCTAATGTTTATCTTTGTTTTTTGCTTCACCTCCTTCTTGAAGGTCAAAATGATGGGTGAACGTCGGATAATGGAGCAGTGGAGTCAGCCAAATCTGGTTTCCTAAAAAGACTGATGCATAATAAAGCAAGGAGACAATCTTCAACATGGGAAGGTTTGTTTGAACAGCTGTTTTGTATTTTATTTTTTTCTGCAGCTTTGTCAAAGGGTTACATGTAGTGTCTTGAAAAAGATTTCAGTTACATGTCTATCGGTCTCCGCCAGTCACGTGACATTTGTTGCTAAGACGCAATTTTTGGTGGAAAAGGCGTAGTGTAAACAACCGCAGCATAGCTAAACGAAGGACTAAAGGATTGAGTTTGTTTCTCTGACTTTATTCTTTACTTCACATGTTATAGCAGAATATCGCCAGTGATATTGATCTAAAACTAATAATAAAACACAAACGTTTGCTTGAAAGCTGGTCGCTGACAATAGTGTCTACTCCTCCCTCTGAAAGCAAACAGATCCTTGTTCTTTTCCACACGTTCATTAAAAAAATCTCTCATTGTTTCACAGTATCCAAATGTTCTCATCCCATTGAAAGCGGTTGTAAACCATATACTTGTAATAAAAATGAAATAGAAAATGGAGTGCACGTGTAATCATTAAAGACTATATGCAGAAGGAAAATAATTTTTTCCTGGTTGAAATTTAGTACTTAAATCTATATCTGGGTTTATAGTAACGTACAATTTATCTATGTTGTACTATCCTTAATAAACAGGTTGTCTTCTAACATCAGCTGTTTTATTTCATCCCATTTTGGCACAATTGGCAATATGGGATGAAATAAAACCTGCTGTAATCTGTTCCCCCTGTCTAAATCAGACAAAAAAGGCCCCAGCTTTTTCATTTTTGGCTAGTATCTTTTATGATGACAATTTATTCCTGAAACTTTGGATGTGATGGACCTTTATTTCTTTAAGTTACAAGGAGGGAACAAATTATAGCAGGCCACCTGCTGTAATCTGTTCCCCCTGTCTAAATCAGACAAAAAGGTCCCAGCTTTTTCATTTTTTGCATCATAAAATATGCTTATAAGCCAAAAATGAAAAAGCTGGGACCTTTTTGGCCTGATTTAGACAGGGGGAACAGATTATAGCAGGTGGCCTGCTATAATTTGTTCCCCCCTTATAACTTTTAGAAATAAAGGTCAATCAACTCCAAAGTTTCAGGGGTTAGTTGTCATCATAAAAGATGTTTAAAAGCAAAAAATGAAAAAGCTGGGGCCTTTTTTGCCTGATTTAGACAGGGGGAACAGATTATAGCAGGTGGCCTGCTATAATTTGTTCCCCCCTTATAACTTTATGAAATAAAGGTCAATCAACTCCAAAGTGTCAGCGGTTAGTTGTCATCATAAAAGATACTTATAAGCCAAAAATGAAAAAGCTGGGGCCTTTTTTGCCTGATTTAGACAGGGGGAACAGATTACAGCAGGTGGCCTGCTATAATTTGTTCCTTATAACTTTATGAAATAAAGGTCAATCACATCCAAAGTGTCAGGGGTTAGTTGTCATCATAAAAGATGCTTATAAGTCAAAAATGAAAAAGCTGGGGCCTTTTTTGTCTGATTTAGACAGGGGGAACAGATTACAGCAGGTTTTATTTCATCCCATATTGCCATTTCTGGCAAAATGGGATGAAATAAAACGGCTGCTGTTAGAAGACAAACTGTTTATTAAGGATAGTACAACATAGAGAAATTGTACGTTACTATAAACACAGATATAGATTTAAGTACTAAATTTCAACCAGGAAAAAATTATTTCCTTCTGCATATAGTCTTTAATGATTACACGTGCACTCCATTTTCTATTTCATTTTTATTACAAGTATATGGTTTACAACCGCTTTCAATGGGATGAGAACATTTGGATACTGTGAAACAATGAGAGATTTTTTTAATGAACGTGTGGAAAAGAACAAGGATCTGTTTGCTTTCAGAGGGAGGAGTACACTACTGTCAGCGACCAGCTTTCAAGCAAACGTTTGTGTTTTATTATTAGTTTTAGATCAATATCACTGGCGATATTCTGCTATAACATGTGAAGTAAAGAATAAAACAGTAAAGCTCAACTTTCATACACGTAAAACCTTTCAAATTTCAAGTTCTGCACGTTGGAATTGAAGCGGAGTTAAGTCGGGTTGTTCTTCCTACTCAGTGCGCGCTCCCGACGAGGGGATACAAATTTTCGCAGGGATAACTACCTTGGCACGACACCGGGACTGGCAGCCTCTCACACAACACGATCGTGTTATTTCTGGTAAATAATTGTGCCGAAAGAACAGCCGCGTGTGGGTTATCTCGACTTTCCACCTAATATGGTGGTTTTCCCACGATGCACCGCGCCCGAGGTAAACATTGACGTCACCTGGCGCAGACCGATTGATGTTTTTGGACTACTTAATTTAAAAACCAAAAACAAATAGTGTTATTTGAAAAGTGGAAAAGTTTGACAGCTTTCTATTTTAATGTTTAAAAATGTAGGAAATCATAAAAAGGTTATAGAGCTCTCTTTGTTATGGTTAGGGATAGACCAGCCGATATGTTTTTTTTTCTTATATCTACATTGAGCATTTGCTCTCCAGTTAATCAGTGCATTCAGCACCAATGGCTGCCTTGAGATCAGGTGAAGCTGAGAGCTGCCTACATTTCATCCCTTGTTAATTCTTTTTTTATGTGTTAATATCTTAGTTTTGTTGAAATTGATACTTGTGTTACTTTTGTTATTATTGTCTATTATTTGTAATGTAAATCAGGGGTCTTCAACGTTTTCCAGGCTAAGGACCTGAATTGTTCTAAAAATATAATCAGCTGTCCGTTTTGTGGATCAGTTAGACTGTGATCTGTTTTATCTTAAAAGTCCTGTAGAGGTCAAATTCTAGTTGTGATGGCCCAAAGTAAAATCCAGCACTACTACTTGTCTTCAGGGGTCATAAAATCAGTATATGTAGTAAAATTGTTTATTAATATTGATGCCGGTTAGAAGGTGCTAAGAGGCCCAAACGGTAAAGCTTTAGGAGCTGCATGTAACCAAAGCACACGTGTAAAAAGAATAACTGATGGTACAGTGCAGCAAATTGATTTGCTGATATTTAAAGTACACATAATACACTATGTGTATAAGGGGAAACTATACTGTTGAACACCATGAAAGCCCACCATTTGCAAAAGGGATACATCGTCCTCTGGGGATGTTTTTTTTCTTAGCTGGGACAGCAAAACAGGTTAAAACTGTTTGAAGGATGGCTCGGACACGCATGATAATCATAATAGACTGCAGAGTCCCTGATTCTGTGGCAGAGGATAATTTTACTGCAGAATGGTCTAAAATATACATCCAGAGTCTCAATGAAACAGTTTAGATCATGGCTAATTCAATATAAGTTTTCTCTAGTTATTTTGCTCCTTCAAGCTTCACAGCATGGTAAAGTTATATTTAAAATAACCTTAGCATCTCATAAATGTAAGAATTAAGCATAGATGCTAAGAAAAAGTGCTTTTAGAATACACGCCCCTACAGATTGTTTTTTTTTTTTTTTTTTTATTAAAAGATATTCAAGAGACTCAAATAG